GTTACATCGGGAGCGATTTGAATTTACGTGAGACTGACCCTGTACCTCGTCATGACCTTTCGCTAGAGAAAGAAACTCTGAAAGAGTATGACAGGGAGGTAAACAGTCAAAAGACTAGGAGACTCGATAAGCTTATTGAAGCGCAGGAATGCTTCGTGAGCATGGAACAAGAACGTTCCATTCAGAGTAAAGGGTATTTTGAAACCTGTGAGAGGTCAAGCGCACTTTATTCAGAGGTAGGATTGCCTCTGAATAGCTCCGCTGAAGGAGCAATAAAAGGTCTCCTAGGTAATGCCGGCGAATGCCATGATGAAAGCTCTGATGTAGCAGCTACCTATTGTTTTGGGCCACTGGAGATAGCAACAGACGCTACGGACATGGTTTTCACCATGATTATAACTTGCCCATACAGAGAGATGGCTTGTGTTCTCGGGAATTGTAGATGATGCTTTTAGAAGAATATTGGAGCAAAATGCAAAAGCACTTGTTGAAGAACAGAGAGTAGAGTTGCAATGTAGGTCAGCTATATGTGACAATGAGGGTAATCACGATGACCCAGGCAGAAGGGTTGAAAGTATTGATGAACAAGCAATACAGAAAAGCTGAAGGGATGGAAAGTGAACCAGAAGGCAGTAATGGTCCAGCAGGTTATTGTACGAGGAAGGACGCCGACTGGTGCTCTTTGGCATCTTCGGTTGAAGAGGTCGCTTCTGTTAAGATGTCTCAACGATTAGCGGCTTACGAGCTCAAGCAAGGCGTTCGTGGGAAGGATGAAATGATTCAGGCGTGGTTGTACTGGTGCGCCTGGAGGCAACGCCTCCGACTGGCATACAGACATTCCAGCGTGTATGCTTGTGATTTCGAGGTTGGGAACCTGGTGATACACAGCTTTAGGTTCATACGAGCTTACGGTCGAGAATTCTTCCACTGGCTTCCGATTCCTTACTCTTGTCAAATGGTTAGAGCAGTTAAACGTCTTGTACGGGACGCTATAACTTAAGCGTCAAATTCGATTTCCCGCTGGTTTCTTTTGGATCTTGCTTGCGGACCATGGAAGGGTGTTGCTTGTAAATATTTGAAGAAGTTACATGCATGTAACATTAACATGATGTATAGTTTTTGAGATGATAGGGTATATATGAAAAAAAAAAGGGGTGGTGTACTACTAATTTGGGGATTTTCACAATCCGCTATATGTGTCCATACTTTTCTCACTTCTTGCGTATTTTGAGGTTAGTGAATGTGGACCTTTGGGCAATGCAGTGAACTGTGTGGCGGACATATGTGGGTAAATTGTGGTGCAGTGCGAAACGTGCACTCAACGGCAGTTTTTTTTTTTCTTCTCGAAAAAAAAAAAAACTTTTCTTATTGTTGTTGGTTGAATGTTACGTTCTGTGGACTCGGTGTTTCGACGTGAGACATGTCAACGAAGAAGCAGTGTGGTGCCATCGGTGTGATGTGTTGAACTGCGTGGTGCAAATATGTGGTGTAATTGTGACGTAGTGCAGAACGCGCACTCATCGGCAGTTTTTTTTTCTAAAAAAAAAAAAAACTTGAATGAAAGGGGGGCGTATGTGATGTGTGGTGCGCGTTCAAAGTGCGCGCCTTCGAAAAGTGCGCGTCACGGGAAAAAAAAAAAAAAAAAAACAAAAGGACAAATACCAGAGTGCACGTGCGGGGCTGCTTAAACAAGAATGACGACGTTAAAGAGCGTCGAGCACGAGGATGCGTGGCAGGACGTGAAGTAAACAAAAGGTAAAACATCCAATGGGCAGCGAACACGGAGATTTCAAGGCCCAATGGCTTGACACCACGAGACAGCAGTATCTCCAATGAGAACGAGACAAGTGGGCCAGAGCTGAAGCAGGAGCCTGAGCAGACCAGAGCAAGGGGAATTCGAGGCAGGAGTGCAAGCGGAAGGTCGTCACCGGACCGGGCGCTGAAGATGGGCCGTTGGGTTCCGGACCCGAGCCTACAAGGACTTCCACCGGCCGGGACCTCCTGCTGTCGGGTTCCCGCTCCAAAGGACCGTGGCCATCCGGTCCTGAACTCCGTTCCAGAGCCTGCGGACTTCGGTTCCGGCAGGCGAGCTACAGCCGTCGGGCTCCGGGCCCGAGCTGTGCGCCCAGCTGCTTGACTAGGTCGACCCTAGTTCCCGGACGCGTCGCCACCAGCCTGCGTTCTCCCGTCTCCGACGTGTCCACGCTCCTCAAGCCGAAACCATCATGATTTGGTAGGGCTTTTCGACGTGTCGCCAGCAGCCAGCGTTCCCTCGTCCTCGTTCAGCCCACGCACTGACGCAGGAGTCACGGCGTTCCGGTTTCTCATCACCGCCGAAAACCAACTTGTGGGTGAGACTGCACCGATACTCTTGCGCTACTCCCATCACTCAGCCTCCTTCGAACGTTAGGTTTAGTTACTGACTTTGAACGTTCTTGTTGGGTGTTTACAGATGTGTTTCGTCATGTCCAGTCAACTGTTTATTAAGTGTTTTGTTTTGTGAGGAATCTTTGCCTTTTTACTTTTCAATTAAACTTTTGTGTGTTTCTTGGAAACCGAACGGCTTTGTCCTTATTAACAAAACTCTCTGAGGCTCAGCCCGGGAGAAAAACAAATCAGCAACAAGAACCTGCATCACAGTCCCCACGTGAAACCATGCCGCAAGTAACGCACGTTTTTCCGGTTACAGATTAAGACGTTAAACAATTTTAAAAATGAATATTGCAATGCGTTGCCACCGTGTGGCACCTACGCGGTCATTGGCAAAAAAAATAAATATGCTTAAATGAATCAACTAGCCCCGCAAGCAATCGTCCTTAGAAACCTGAAGTGGTTTCTACTCACCAGCCCGGGCTTGCAACGGGTGTTCATCCGATGAAAGCTTCAACGGTCGCTTCGTTCCCCGGATGTCACTTTAATTCCCTTCGCTAAAGCATTTGAACGAATCAAAATAAACAGAAGAGAAAGAGTGTGTTGGTCGGCAGAGGCTAGAAATATTTACAGCGAAACGAAACAGTCCGAGACACATCTGAACGTGTCGCGAGCCGTTACATACCGTCGCAATCGTTGGTCGCCACAAGCTTTGAAATGACGATAATGATGTCAATAGGCTGCTGCTGACCTGTAGTCAGCTGGAGCAAAAACTATTACAAAAAATTGATGACGCAACACATGTTTAGGAAAATACTTGCCAGAAGAACAAGTTGTTTTTATGTGTAGCTGTAAGCAAAGATGTAGTATTTGATCATTTTAAAATTAAAACTTGGCCCCGACAAGGACGCGCCTACAAAACAGTGCAATAGCGCAAGTGAAGAGAGAGGTTAGTAGATCCACTCTAGGTGATTGAAGCAAAACCGCGCCGTGGTTGATTTTTCGGCCCTTACAGGTAATCACTTGAGCTTGAGAGTTTCCGGGGCCTGACTGCGTCCCCCTCATTTCATGACGGAGGGACGCCGGAAGTGCTGAAACGGTCTTGCGTTAAAGCAACGCAGCGCAGCGCGCGCTTGCGAGTATATGGCTGGACCAGTGCCTGGCGTGACAACGCTGGCGTGACGCGACGAAATGAACGCCGGCGAGCACGCGCACCGCGTCACGTCGAAATGTATTGGCGCCTTGACTGTGGCACGTAGTCACGTTCTCACGTGACACGCATTTCATAATAATCATGTTTGCAGCAGTCGCATAACTTCGTCATTAATTACCGTTATGTAATACTAAATTTAGCATATCTGAAGCTATCGAAATGGCCGTGAGCGCATAATGAGTGTGACTTGTACTCATGTTGTTACATGAAACGCATGTCATGATTATCATGCTTGAATGTGTCATTTATCTATGTCGTCCGTTCGCGTGGCGTTATACCGAGTTTGGTACTTGTCAAGCTATCGAAACGGCCGCGAGTGCATCACGAGCGCATAACATAGCATGTAGTCATGTTGTTACATAACACGCACCTCATGTTTATCTTGTTTACACCAGTATCATACATTCGTCATCCATTCACGTCCCGTAATACCAAATTTCGTATAAGTGAAGCTAGCAAAACGGCAGCCAGCGCATCATGAGCGTGGCATATAGTCATGTTGTAACATGACACGCATGTAATGATTATCAAGTTTGCACAAGTCACATACCTTCTTCAACAATTCATGTATTGTAATACCAAATTTGGTATATGTGACGCAAGCGAAACGGCTGCGAGCGCATCATGAGTGCGACATGTAGTCATGTTGTTACATGACACGCATGTCATGATTCTCTTGTTAGGGTCTGTCGCTTGTGTTCGCCATGCAATCATGTCTTACCATACCAGTTTCGCAATATGCCAGGTGAACGAAACCACCTCAAGAGCTCCAGGACCATGAGATGTAAACCGTGACATTCATGGCATACATGTCATAATTTTCATGTCATGGCTTGTGAAATATGTTCTTCATACAGTCATGCTATGCCATACCAAGATTGGTGTCGCTACCGTTATCCAAATGGCCAGGGGAGGTAAAAGTCGTAGGCGGCTAGATAGATAGATAGATAGATAGATAGATAGATAGATAGATAGATAGATAGATAGATAGATAGATAGATAGATAGATAGATAGATAGATAGATATGCTCAAAGTCGCCGAAGTACGCTAAGAAATGCTTCGCATTTAAAACCGTTCTGTTCTAGCCATGAGGAACAAGCTGTTCCGCTTGGCGAAACGTCGGCTCGACACAACACCTGTTTCCTAATTTTTCTTCACTGTGTTTTAAAACACCCATACAAAACACACAAACAAAAAACGCAAAAAATGTACTGTCTAGTAACAGACGAACATGACATCTACTAAGAAAATGCATCTAGCGCTTATAACAGTAACCTCCTTAACCGCCCAAGAGTACTAAAGTAGTTCACTCTGTAAATAAATGTCGAGACAGTTTGGTACATCCGCGGAGGCTGTTTGCAAAGAGTGCTTTTACAGCTGTTCATGACCTATATTGAAGGCTACGTTTGCACTCACCTGTGAATACCGCTTCGAGTCCAGGGTGAGTCTTTCGTGGTCCAACGCTGCAGCCAATAGTCGTGGGAAGACAACTGTGTGTTCCCAGTAACCGGCATGACGCTGTGACAAATGGTGGTCATAAAATTATCAGTAACGCTTGGGGGCTTGGCGTTGGGGTTCACTACGAATGAGATGAACTTCGAATATTTCACTCGTATTCTTTACCGTTAGGAAAGCTGTTACCCCAGCACATGCACTGGATTACTATATGTTTACACCAACTAGCTCTGCCACAACAACAATCAAATCAAAATATATGAACCAAAGCTCTGGTTAGTTTCTTGATCTGTATAAAAAACTGTTCCATAGATTCTATGCATTTGTATCGCAGCATGTAGCAATGGCTGCGGTAATAGTGCTATTTAGTTCCATTTTCTCGCTCAGTTTCAGTAATTGCCTAATTTCCGACTTACGGAACACAACGATTTCCTACCAAGTTCGCCCAATCGTTCGTACAAGCACCTGCTCTGCTTCCGTACACCGTGGCTTACAGATGACCTCTGTGGTGCCTGTCGTTGCGTCTATTTGCGAAATAAAGCTGACATGTCATAAAGCTGCATCACTTGACCTCGTGACAGTTTCCGCTCTTTTACGTCATGGCATGCAGATATCTTGGTGAGAGCCAAACGAAGGTTGCTCTTTCACAAAGAAACAACGCATTTCTGATTGCGACACCGGTGCTTCGCTCGTTATCACGCACAGTACAGAGACCACAAGAGCTTTTGTTGCGCACCCGCACTCGAGCTGTTCCAGTTGGATTGCGTGTGCGCAGATGCGAACAGGTCAGGGCCGACTATTACAGGAGCCTAGCTGCCCACTGTTACCTTACGAAAGCGTGAATTTATTTTACGCCCTTTTTTCATGCACGTTAACGTCATTTTAATAGCTCATATCGGCAAATACAGTTTTTGTCCGAGTATACACGTGTGTTAATGCGCGTACTCCAGTAATGGTGTACAAAATACTTTTCGACATCCTCGTATTCGTTCTTATGTAGCACACTCCAAAAGCAAACACGGTATACAAACGCAAATGCTCAAATTCTGCATTGTTTTCCCGATAACGAGCTATTGTGCGCTTCAAATGCATTATTTGTCAGTTTTTATTTGTGCTTTTTTTGTTCGTTTATTGTAACCACTCCTGCAATGTCTCAAACATGAGACAGCAGTATCTGTAAAATAATAAATAAAAAATAAGGCATGGTACATCGAGTAAATCTCTACTGGTACATCTCTAGTGCCCACATGTATGCTTTATATATTATCAGGGGTGTGGGACTTTTTTTTTTTTTCACTACACGGACCTTGTGGACGAACAAGGCATGCTTTCCACACGATTAGCCGAACGATCGTCTATTTGATCACTACCAAAGAAGTCTTCACTGTGCCATCACCAATCATCAGCGGAAACCTGCAGAAGCCTACCGCGATTTAGAAGTGCCGGCTGGGTGAATACTGAAGCTCCTATGAATTCGGCGAAAAATTCTCCCCTTTTGGAAAAGAATATTCTTAGTGTACTATGCGAAGTCCTTGATGCGATGGTTGTTCACTCATGAAGTTCTATGTACCATTATAAAAGGAGCCATCATACACATATTGCACAGAGAAACCTCCCTATTATTTTTTGTACTACACGTTACTACTAACACCGTCGACAAAAAAAAAAAAGCATGGCACCGCGCCTTCCGATCGTCAGCGGCACCACGACAACTTCATAACATTGAAGCCCTCTCAATATAGCACTGATAATGTTCTCCAAAACCTTCTGTCGTTGTATTCGCAAGCAAATACGTGAAAGAAATCAAGAAAATGCCAGCATATCCGTGAAGTGCATGATGATGAGTGTGGCGAAGCGTCCGTGCATCCGTTCTTTCTTGCTTCGATCCGTCCGTGCGTTCGTCTGTGTGACCATCCGTGCGTTCATTTTGCCGTCCGTAGATCCGTTCGTCTGTGCGTCCAAGCGTTCTTCCTTCTGTCTGCGCGCCTTTCTGTCTTAGCGTCCATCCGTGCGTGCGTCCATTCATTCGTTGGTCCCTACGTGCATCTGTCTGTCTGTTCGCCCATCCTTCCATCCGTCATTCTACTGAATACTCGAAGCACCACCATCTCGAATCTTTTCATATTATGTTCACCATATAGAAGTACCGCCATCTAGCGGACATTTCAAGAACTAAAGAAGAGGTGGCACTCGCGCACTTTCTAACGGCCTGCACTTTGCGTCTACTACCCACCTTTCACCGGTTCTAGTTTATGACTATATATTAGTTCACTATATTCACGGCACTGCGTCCCAACTCTCGCAAATTCTTGCTAAAAGCAAAGAGGTTACGCCCAGCAAGTTTAACGTGGCAACCCTTTCTGGTCAGATGGTGCTCAAAGTGCGTCCTTCTGACACCAGTTTCTTTAATAAGCGTCAAATTCAAGGAATTCTTTTTTGCAGTTGAAGTCACCTAATTCTCGTCTCCGGTGAGTTATTTCATCTGGAATAACAATCTTTGCATTAATTATAAACGTGCGCGGGTTTCCTCCTCAAAGGATGCACCCGTGCCGATCCCCCAGTCCATTCGTGGAGGTGGCTACTTACAACAACAACAACAAGAACAACAACAACAACTACTACTACTACTACTACTACTACTACTACTACTACTACTACTACTACTACTACTACTACTACTGCTTACTACTACCACATACATCGTGAACGCACGACACACGGCTTACAGAACTTCTCCCCACAAAATAACTCTCAGTACAGCGCAATGATGTTATGCTGCAGCAACCAACACCAGCCATGGAAATAAGAATGCTTTCCTTTGTTTTTCTCTAGCGCATAGTGTGTTGAGTAAAAGTGGCTAATGCAGTCGACGTTGCACTACCTGGCTGAATTTTAAGAGTACTACAGGAAAGGAACGCTTGAACAAGCGTAGTATATTAGAAGTAGTTATTTTGTCAATAATAGAGCAGCATTAGGATTCCGCACATTGATCACACTCTAAGTGTATCACCCTCTATAGTGCCGCAACGGCTAGTAGAAGGGAAACGGGTGAAGTAAAGCGGGGCAATTTACGGCTGCAATGTAATAAAAATTATTTGATTGATATGTGGGGATTAACGTCCCAAAACAACTCACGATTATGAGAGACAGCGTAGTGGAGGCTTCGAAAATGTCGACCACCTGAGATTCTTTAACGTGCACCCAAATCTGAGTACTCGGGCCTACATTTCAGCCTTCATCAGAAATGCAGCCGCAACCGCCGGGATTTCGACCCGCGACCTGCGGGTAAGCAACCGAGTACCCTAGCCACTAGACCACCACGGAAGGCTGAAAAAGAAAGAAAATAACGCATTTTTGTTGTCTTATATATGAGTGATTGATGAAGGAGATTTGGCATAAAGATTCGACATGTATATTGATAGGAATTTATAGAATTACTCAAGTTCCGACGTCAGTAGTGTATGATTCATATTTAGATCCATAATTACATATAGAGACTTGGTGATTGTATCGACAGTTTTCGTCAGCTGTTTTGTTCACTCCAAGCTAAATGGCGCTACCACAACTAGACTGTCTCCCTACCAAGGATTTTGGCAGCGCTGCTTGATATGTATCGATCCATGTTGAGTCGTCTGCTCAGCGTTCCCATAGCGACAGCTCCCACGCAAGTATTCGCAGGTGCCGCCATTTTGACTTTTCTGGCAGGCCGGAAAAGTTCACATGGCTGCACCTGTGAATGCAGTTTTCATCTACCTTAAACTTATCACGTCCTCGTCTAGTGCTGTGCATGTGGCCTGCAAGTTCACAACCTACGCATTTATTTGATTTATATTTGCGTCCTGATGCTTCGAATGCGTTGCACTCGTCGGTATTTTGCACTGCTTTTAAAATTTTTTCTCAAATTCGGGGAGACAAGGCTCAGCAGGCATGGCTAAATAAATAGAAATTATCTCAGTAATGAAAAGGGAACATCTCTAATGCTTTGTCTGCCCCAGGATGAGATGACAAAAAGCGATGATTGATTTCATTATTTACTCATTGCTGAGAAGACAGTGAACGAGTAGCAAGTGCGAGGTTGGATCGAAGCGGGCGGTCACGTCTTCATTGGTTCTGCCATGCATGTTGGCATTATGATACGTACTGGCGCTTATAGCTACGGCTCTGGCGCTGGTTCAATGCGTTGGCTAGCGCAACTGGCTGGGAGAAGACCAGATATGTTTACGCGATCAACATGGCTGAACCATGCACTACCACTGCTTAAAATTTTCTAGAGGATTCCACAAACAAATTCGTCTTCAATCACCACGATCGGCGAGTAAATAACACCTCAATGATTGAAGTCGCAAAGGTTTTGTTCGTTATAGAACAGCTGGGTGCGTGAGTCAGGCCCTTCATATTGATCCCTCGCTACTTGCCTGACTACCGTATTCAGGAACATGCCTGTTTTCAGTCGCCATCTTAGAAAATTGTGAACATGACACTGCTTTTTCATAGATGTCTGCATGAGTGTGCGCAGGGTTCCCCATTAGAGAGCGTGGGAAGGTATGCTGCAGCAAACCCTCCGTCAACAATGAAGTGAACATTGCACCCACCTCCCATCTTGCGCCTGCCTATGGCTGTCTATACGTTATAATTGTTTAGCCACGACCTTTCTTACTCCGCGTATGAAGCCGTAACCGCAGAATGCTCCCTAAAGCCCATCGCTGGCGTGTGATCACCTGTTTATTTTTGAAACTATAACTTTCAGAATATCTACCGAAGGATCAATGTAAGGCAACCCTCCACTGTGTCTTTGCAAAGCAGCATTTCTTTTCGAAGTAGTAAAACTGCTTGAGTTTTTGCTCGAATGATTTCAGTGAGGAGAACGTCTTAGTTAGACATTGCAGGTTTTAATATGTGAGAAAGCTTGCAGTGCATAAAAGCTGAAACAAAGTGATGAAGAAACAAAACACTCGATGCTACCCTTATCTGTGCGATGTATATAGTACTGCCAACTGGCTGTTCAAGCGATCTTTGTAAGATATATTGCAAAATGTGCTTTCGTTTCATTTTCATGTTACTTAACCATTACAATGTAACTGTTGCCTTGAGAAAAACGCTCCCGAATGACTGGCAACTATTCGGCTAATTTTAAAACGTTTCTTTGAGATTTCCTGCACAATGTGAACATAGAAGTTCGTTCTGGAGTCCACCACACCGAATCAGTGGCTACGGTGCTTGGCTCCTGTCCCACTGGTCACGGGTTTGATCTCGGCTGAGGTGGTCACATTTCGGTGGAGGCAATATCGCATATGCTGGTGTACTGTGCGATATCGGTGCATTTTGAAGAACACCAGATGGTCAGAATTTCCGGAGCTATTCAGCCACGGCGTCCATCGTAATTATATCATGGTTTTGGGCCATTAAACCCTGATATTAGTATTAAAGTTGTTATGGCGCTTCCGCGGCCGCTAGCGATGACACTAGAATTGTCGACGATACAGTCGTGTATAAAGGCCCGTGTGCTTGGCCGCTTGTCTGTTTTTATTAGGGAGTTTTAGAATAGC